GCCTTTTAGCAAGATGTAGATTCCCTGATTATACCTTTTAGTTAGGTCTATTTTTGTTTTTCTTTGACTGAGATCATGATTGCTACTTTTGCCTTTTTTTATGTCACCTGAAGCATAATAGATTCTACTCCAGCTCCTTATTTTAGTTCTTTGAGTGTCTCTCTGTTTCAAGTGTGATTCCTGTAAACAACATATTGTTGAATTCTGGTTTCTAATACATTCTGTCAGGGTCCCTGATTCCTAGTTACCAAGAGTGATGTTGCTCCTCAAAGCTCCCACCCCCTCTTGACTGAAAATGATCCTCTTCATCCTTGACCTATGACCTAAAAGGCAATATAGGGCTTAGGAGTGGGGAACTTGTGGCCCTCTAGGTCCTCAAGTGCAGTCCTTTGACTGGATCCAAACTTCACATAAAAAATCCCCTTAACAAAAGAATTTATTGGACTCAGTCAAATGGCTGCACCCAAGGACCTAGTAGGCCACACGTTCCCCAACTATGGGTAGGCAGTTGGTCCTATTTCCACTGCTAGCATGAGCCCCATGTAATCGCTTTCATACCAATTGCTAGGTCCCCTTATTCTCTGCCTTGAGAGCTCCCAATGTTGTTGCTGTTTCTGTTGCCACCACCTAGTGCCACCACTGGTGTTTCATCCATCTGGGCTCTGGGCCAGCCTCCACTACCATATCATAGATCTGTCCTTCTAACCCCCCCCAAGTGCTGTTTGGCTAGAAAAATGTCTCACTCTGACCTTTTATTGTCTTTGCCACTCCAGAATTCTATCTGAGGCATTATTTTAAAGTTGTTTGTTAGGAATGTTAGGAAAGCTCAGTTGACTGCTTTCTTTACTCTACTGTCTTGGTTCTGTTCCTGGAAGTCAGCAAATACTTTCTTGAATTACCATTAATGATAATTTCACTCTTCAAAGGTGGTAGAGCCACCAAGAGAGAAGTATATGCTGAGTCTAATAATCCTTTACAGAAAGAAATCATTCCTGGGGAGGAAATGACAGAGACTTTGAAGTAAAATCATGACTCTTTTCTTGAGCTTTTGACATAGAAGAGATAAACTTGGCATACCCTAATGTGCATCTCAGATTTGGCTAGAACAGATTTCAGAGGATTCAGAGGAAGAAATGCTATGGTCCTATAAATGCAAATGCTACAGAGGAAGCCAGCCTAGAAGGAATGGAAAGCTCAAGATTTAAATTCATAAGACAGAAGTGGGAAAAAAAAAAGGTAGTTGTCTGAAGAGACCCATGTGGCTACACAAAGAACTCATCAACCAACTTATACTTTTGAAGGATTTGTAGAAAATAGAAATTAGGAAAATTAAGAGAGGATTATGAACACAAAAGGCAAAGCTTGACACAGTAACAACGTGAAGAGCTATAAAACTTCAATGAGGAAAGGAAAGGAAAATTTAAAAACAATTTTCATTTTTTTTCTGAATTGGGGAAAAGATGAAGATAAAATAAGGGATAGAACTGCTGTTTAAAGGGGGATGGTATAATGATAAATGGTAATAGTCAAATCCTACTCAATTATTTTTTTCCTGCCAAGGAGAAATTATCTTTAAACTGGAAAACACAGAAAAATGGCCACGTTTGAGTGGATACTAAATATAAGTAAGGAGATAGGAAGAGAGCACCTAGCTGCTCTTGATGAATTCTAGTCACTTGGCTCAGAAAATTTATATCCATGGCTCAAAAAAAGATTTAGTTGATATGATTGTTGAACTACTCTGAGTGATATATGAAAAATCATGGAGAACAGGAGATGTTTTATATAAGAAAAAAGTCAAAACTTTTTAAGAAGAGAAGGGAAACCATATAGACTAGTGAATTTGACTTTAGTTTCTGAGCAAAACTCTAGAACAATTCTGACTAATAAATATCTGCTGCAGAAAGCAGAATAATGTTCACAAACAGCCTATATAGTTTCACCAAGAATAGATCATTACAGATTAACCTTATTTTCATTTTTAACAGAGTTGTTAAGCTGATTGATTAGGGGAATGGAGTAGCTATAATTTCTCTAGATTTTAGCAAAATTTAATGAAGCATCTCATACTGTACTTGTGGAAAAGATGAAGATAAGGAAGATAGTACAATTAGATGGATCTGGAACTGGTTGGATGGCCTCACCTGAAAAATAGTTTTTAATGGAATAATGGCAAGATGGGAGGAGGTTTTCATTGGCATGCATCAGATATCAGTACTTAGCTCTTTGATATTTAACAAATTTTATTGAAGACAGTTACAAGTATATATGGCAATCTCATCAACTATGAAGATGACACAAAGATGAGAAGGATAACTTACAGACTCCATGACAGAGTCAAGACGGAAAAAGTGATCTTAATAGGATGGATCCCTGGGCCAAACTCAATAGAATGAAATTTAATAGGGCTAAATATAAAGTCTCTTAGCTGGGTTCAAAAAAATTGACTTTTATGAGTATGAAATTGTAGAATCATGGTTTGATACAAGATTTTTTTTGGAAAAGATTTAAGATACTTTTCTTGAATGCAAACTCAACATGAGTCACAGCATTATATGGCAGACAAATGAGATGATTGGATCTTGGGCTGTTTTTAGAGAGGGATAACTTCCAGGAGCTAGAATAAGGAAGTGATAATAGTCTTACTGTGAAAGAAGAAAAATCCTGACCCCCTCCCCCTCCCTGCTCTGCCCAGATGTTACTTTCTTGCCTTCTGATTGGTAGAACACCAGATTTAACATGTATACTTTGAAGATTGTTTAGCATGTTCGATTTTGGGAGAGAAAGCAGATGTTAAATGCCATGGCTGGTAAAACAGGAAAATCAGAAGAAAAACAAAAATAGTTGCCAATATCAACAAGGCAGATTCTGAATCTTTTGGGATATGACTGGATCCAGCATGAATACAAGAAAATGGTAATGTCAAAGGGATAAAAGACAACTTTAGAAACCCAAAGAACTCTCGCATTTTCGTTGCCGTGGAGTAGCCTCCCGCGATCTCCTGTACAATTGGGCTCTGTGGCCCCCTTCCCCCGAGCCAGGTCACCCGTTATCGTCCCCCGCAGCCCACTGCCTGACAGGGGCTGCTCGGGAGCCGCCGCTAAGGTTTACATCATCACAAGAACAAGCACCATGACAGCACTTCAGTCCAGCGGTTCACTCGTAGCAGCCCATGACTACACCGAAGGCGTCTGGGTTCCACTTCCAGCAACAGCTCCTGTGGAACTAATGCTGAGTATTCTGGGGAAGTGATCCCCCATCATCCTGGTCTTCCCAAATCAGACCCAGGCCACTGGTGGGCAAGCTTCTTCTTCGGGAAGTCGAGCATCCGTTCATGTCAACTGTATTGGAATCCCCAGAGCACTCAGGAACTTTCCAGGTTGCTGAAGGCACGATCACCTGTGACCTGGCTCAGGAGGCCATGAGGAAGCGGTATGTCAGCGAGCCCAGCAAGACCAGCACAGGGCCTTCTGCATGAACAGCAGCACCCTCCTTGCTGGTGCCCACGCTTCTGAAGTACGCTAGGCATCAGAGCCCATTTCCCCCTCCCCTCCCCTCCCTCCCTTCCCTCTCCCACCTATTCCCTTAGACAGGCTGCTTAAGTGTAGAAGTAGTTATGTTGCTTGTAGGTTTTTTTTTTAAAAGAAAGCAAAAGCCAAACACCAAAAAAGAGTAAAAGGAACCACATTGTTATTGTTTTTTTTTTTTTTACTGAATCACCTATGTGTTTTGTAGCAGCCTCTGTAACTTGTACTCAACAGAAACAAATAAACTTTGAGCAGCCTTTTTTTTAAAGACCACTTTAAAAGTATAAGAAAGTCTATAATTCTTTATAATAATAGGAAGCATAAATAATGGTGAGACTGATCTCATTTTAGTGGACAAACTATGACTTATATACACCAGTCTTCCTATCAAACAAGTTACCTTGGTAGATTATCTGTTCGACTTTCATCTTTGCATCTTCAATACCTCACACGATGCCTTGCACATAGTAGGCATTTAATAAAGGCTTGTTGATTAATTAATTTATACTTTTTTCTGTAGTTATCTCATTAGTTAAGTAGTCCCCACCCCTTTCTATTTCTCTTTGGGAGGTCTTTCAGGCTAAAGTACTTTATTTTGAATAATCTCCATCTGGCCAATATTCATGCTCTGAGGATGAATTTGATTTTTAGAAATAGCCAAAGGTTATTCATTTTTTCATTCATTCATAGCCAGACTGTTGAGCAAGGTACCTCATCAAGTTGAGTCATATTATTTTGGGCTAAAAACAAGGTATGAATATAAATTAATAAGCCTGATTTTCTATTGTTTCTTAGAAATTGGCCCAGAAAGCTGTTCCAAAATCAAAAAAAAAATCAAACGTATTTTGTATGAACACTTCATCCATGGAGTCAGTGGTTCCCCCTACGGGACAATTTGGATGAGCAAGTTCTTGTATTACCTGTGATTTCATCTATCCAGGGAATGCCAAGTATAGAGACCCTTTCCTCGAATGTAAATTGTCTGTAACCAAGGTTATAGCTTAGAGTTGAATAGGGTACTGAAAGGTTAAGACGTTTGCTAGTGATCACATGGCACGTGCCTTGAATCCAATTTTCTTGACTCTAGGGTCATCCCTGTGTCCAATATGACCATGCATTTTTTCCAAGTTCTTGAATATCTATTTAAAAACCACCACTAACCAATCTTTTTTTACTTTAAGGTAAGACTTTACAATCCCACTGGAGAAATTCTATGAACTACATCTAAGAAATTGCTTCCACATGAGAAACTGTCTTTAAGTCAGGGAATTCTTCAATGAATTTAAAAAAAAAGTTTCAAGGGAAAAAAACAACCTTGATATCTGAAGAATCTGGTTGAGGTATAAGGCTTCTTTTGAAATTTTTTCCCTCTCACAGCTGGGGATTCCTTTGAAGTCCTAGATAAAGAAACTTGGCCATGACATTTATTTCTGATAGAAATCTCATATCAAAAAATATTTTGTTTGTCATTAGGCACTAGATGAACCTGCCAAGTCAGAAAGGATCACCAAGGACAGCACATTAGACTCGCATCTGGAGGTAATGATAACAAATTTCCTGGGCTTTTGGTCTAGAATCCCAAAGCATGGTGCTAACCCAGTGACTGGTTTCGATTTTTCCAGTTGTGTTCCCCCGCACAGCTCAGGCAGCAAACTGAAGAGCTCTGTGCTGCCATTGATAAGGTCTTACAGGAATCCTTGTCCCTGGTAATGCCTTAGACTAGACTGTTTAATTCAAAATATTTGTTTTTGTTTCTGTTTTTCTTCATTTCTCCTTTACCATGGCACCATTCATCACATCCTGTACACCTCCCCCATCCCCTCTTTTACTCCCCTAGCATCCTTCAGATTCTCCTTCAAGTTCCATGCAGACATCATTGGGTTCTGATGGGAAAAAAGTACGTGAGTTTTCCATGTAATTAACCTAACCACCTCCATGTGTTATCCTTTCTGACTTACCAGTCCAAAAGTATTTATCACACAGTTACTACCTGCCTGACACTGAAGAAAAAAGTGGATGAAGTACTTGCTTCATGCATGCTTAAGACTTTTATGCAAACAAATATGTGTGTAACATATGTGTGTAATAACATAGACTACTCTAGAAATACAGAAGTAGGAAGTCTATTGCACTATGTCCATAAGACAAAATGTTAGCATGGAAAACCAAAACTTATTGCATGTCAAGGGGCTTGTGTGTGTGTGTGTATTGCCTTGTTGACTGTCTGATGTTACTCTGTTGCCACTTAGCTCAAAAGGAGATGATGGTTAAGTTTTCCAGCAATCTTGAATTCTTCAGATTTTAGAGAAGATTTGAATTTCTTCTTATTCTGAAGTCATTTGCGGGGCTTGTTTTTGAGATAAGAGGCTGTTTTCTGAAAATCACACATATATAATATATATACACATATAGTTGTATATACATGCATGTATATATCTACATACATATACATACATACATACACATATACATACATACATTTGTGCTAACATTTGATGGGTAACATACCTGTGTTGCCCAATCTGCTTGTTCTTTCAAATACATTGTTTTTAATTGTCAGCCTGTATGCATCTTTTTACTAATGATTCTTATTTAAGTAGTATATAGATGGTGTTGGATAGATGGTTATAGACTAGAGCTGCCCTTAACTGGGATAGTAATTCCTTTTCCTAGGAAATGTTGATATGAGTTTATTAAACCTACCTTATTGTGTGTGAAGATGAAGTCTAATAACATAAAGAAATGCCTTTTGCCAGTTGTATATATTATAGGAGAGGACAGTTAGATGGTGCAGTGGATAGAGTGCTGGGTCTGGAGTTAGGAAGAATAACCTTCCCTAGTTCAAATCCAGCTTCAGACACTTACTAGCTATGTGACCCTGGACAAGTCACTTAACCCTGCTTCCCTCAGTTTCCTCATCTGTAAAATGAGCTAGAGAGGGAATGGCAAACCATTTTAGTATCTTTGCCAAGAAAACCCCAAAAGGGGTCACAAAAAATCAGACATGGCTGAAAAGTGACTAAACAATAGCAACAAATATTATAAAAAGGATTTTCTAAATATTATGGACTTCATTATCTAGTCTCCTTATTTTATTCAAACACATATGCATCTATTTAAGCATATGTGGGGGAGTGAGCAAGGGAAAGCAAGAGCAAATGAGAGAGAGAAAAAAAAGAGAAAGAGAAATTGATTTTGCTTAAATATGAAAGCTGTTGGTTGGCATACCCCATTAAATCATCAAACATAGTACAATGCCTCCTTTTGGCTACAGAGATTTATCTCAATCTTTATACATTATCATTATAAAATTAATAAATGAAATAAAAAAAATCATATAAAAAAGCAAAAAAAAAAAGGGACAAAATATTACCCAAACCACTGAAGTTTTAATGAGGTAAAACCTAAAGAATCGACATACAAGCAAGTAAGAGATTTTTGCTCTATGTGCCCTTCTAGATTTGTCTGGAATTCTTCTATCTTTGGCCCTTCCTCCTTGCTCTTTCCCTTGCCCCTTTTCCCTTTGTTTCCCTCTTCCTCTTTCCACCCTTGCTTTCTCTCCTTTCTCCCTTCTTTCCCCCTTCCTCTCTTTCTCTTTTTTCCTTCTCTTGTAGTCATTATCAATGTGTAAACCAATCTAATTCTGATGATTTCACTCTGCATCACTCCACATAGGTCTTTCAATATTTCCTTATATATTTCAGATTTGTCATTTTGGAAATACCCTAATTACATTAATATACCATAATGCATTCAGACATTATCTAATTGTTAAACATATTTCTCATTTTTTTGCTATTGCAAATAGAATAGCTATCAATTTTTTTTTTAAAGATAGGACACCTCCCTGCCCTTCTTTTTTTCTTTTTGTGATGCTTTTGGTATAGGATGCTTGCAGCAGAATTGCTGGGGCAAAAATATGATATTTGTGATGTTTCATTTTTCTATATTGTTCTCCAAAATCTTTGAACCTGAGTGAAACTAGATTAACTCTTTACCTTCAAAGTAGTAATCTTGATATCTTTTTCTGATCCTATTTCTGATCCTATTTAATCAGAGCAATAAAATAAATGGTAATAGTTTTAAATGTATAAACCAAAATGCTCAGAGTAAGACGCAGTGCACTTTAAAAGCAGGGCATTGGATTTGGAGTCAAGAAGATCTGGGTTCAAATCCTGTCTCTGAGACTTACTAGAGACATGATCACAGATAAGTTATATATTCTTAGTCTCCTAATGGGTTGCTCCTGCCAGTCTCTTTTATCTTAATCTCTTAAATCACAGTGGGGTTTTGATCCATGTTGGTAGAGAGATTTTCATGTTAGTGAATTCACAGATCTTTTTTATTTTTGTGTGTGGGGAAGCTATGAGAAATATGCAGATGCCTATCATTCATTCAGTATTGATCACTTATGTACAAGGTACTATAGTGGAACCATGATCTTTAAAGGATTGAAACAAAATAAACTGAGCTATTGCTGTTTCTGTAGTTGTTCCATCTGTGTGATTATCTTTATTTGAATGCAGATGCCTGCAACTCTTCCGAGAGCAGCTGGTCGAGAAACAAAATATGTAAGTCCCTTTTTTAATTACACTTGTTATTTTTCGTAGAAGAATGTGGTTGTATTTTTATTTATATTGTTTGAAATCTATTCTTACATGTGTGGAAACCGGCCTAGTTACTATACCTTGGTCATATGTGGGGAAAGTGCGTAGAGACATTCAAAATCATTAGTGTCAATAGATCTAACCTTTTGATAAATAAATCCCTTCCCAAATCAGAGACAGATACAGAGAGAGGGAGGGATCACCAGAGGTCTGCAGTCAGGAGAACTTGGGTTTAAGTCCTTACTCTGATACATACTGATTATTTGGTGCTGGTTAAGATATTTAACTTTCCACTGGTTCAGGCAACCATTTGACTCTATAGATTGTAGAATAATTGCTTACCTGCACTGGTAGAAGGAATTTCCTCATCTAGGAGTTCTCTATACCAGTAAAATCATAGGTCCAGTTCTTATCCCTATTCAATTATCTCATATAAGAAGTGGTAGTTAGAAAAACAAAAGCAACAAAAGCCAGCCCCAAACCTCTTATTATATCTTCCTGACTTTTTATTTTTTAAAAAAAGTGTTCTTAAAGTCTGGATGATGGTTCTTAACATTTTTGTTGACTATGCTTATTGTAAGTGTACACAAGGTCATATTGGTTGGCTAATAATCCTTTTTAGCTGTTGGCAATTCAGTGGTTTTTGAAGGACCATTCATGTTTTTATGCTTTTGGACAGGGTTTAACTATTTACAGGTAAGCAATGCGCCTTTTGAATTGAGCTGGTAGCTGCCTGTAGGCAGGTATAGAAACACAAAGGATTCCATTCCATTTGTCAGGCATTCATTATGCCATTACTATATATCAAGCACTGTGCTAGGTCTTTGGGGATTAAAAAGAAGAAAAAAATGTAAAAGTCTCTGCCCTTGAAGAGGGCTTGTACTTTGTGATCTCATAGTCATAAGATCTGGAGCTCTAAGGTATCATGAGTTCACATACACTTATATATGTGTGCATGTATATACATATTATATATATATATATATATATATATTTATATATATGTGTGCATGTATATACATATATATATATATTTATATACTTATGTATATATATATCATGTATATACACATATAACTATATCTATATAACTATCTATATCTATAACTATATATATATATGCTTAAAGGTATGTGCATATCTAGGTATATATCTCTTTCTCTCTTGAATTATATATCAATAGACTTAGTTTCTTTTATAATTCTATGTATTTTATTGTACGAATTTAAAAACATCCTGAGAAGGGCTCTTAGGCTTCTCCAGACTGTCAAAGGTTTCAAGTTAAGAACTCTTGCTCTAGGGAGAGGCAACACAGAGATGTGATGTCTTAAATCGAGAAGTCTTTAGTTGAAGTTTGTCTCTTCCTGAGTGTCTGACCATGGTCAAGTTACCTCTGAAGTTCTTTCCAGCTCTAACATGTTTTGAATCTAAGATTGCTATAATGTACAGCTTTCTGCTTTAGTTGTAGCTCCCTCAAAGCACATGATAAAATGGGTTTAATGACAGAATTGCAAAGTCTCTTTAAGAATGGACTATCATAGAATAAAGATAAGCTCTCCACTAATGGCAGTCCTTAGAAGCTTTTGCTTCTAGAAGCTTTTTATTGTTAAATGGGCAACTACTTACTGAGTCCATGTACTGCTCTGAATTCTAGTCATTATTTTGGTTAAACCAATCAGGCATCCATGTAGAGGGTGCTCCAATCAGAGTATTCCTTCTAGAAAACTGCAAGTGTGACCTTTTGTCACTGACTAAAGGTCAGAGTTGGACTGCTTTTGACAGTGTTATTTCATTGCATGTAGATAGAACCTAGATAAAATTCTTTTTTTTGGTAATAAGTTATCAAAACTGATCAGAATAAGTTAACATTTTATTCATAATGTTAGAACAGTGTTTGGATTGCTCAGCACTGACATTGAGTCATTGAGCAGGTGTGGCATAGTTAAAAGCAAGTATGAATCCTGAGGCAGTTGAGATTCCTGACCTTGATGAAACCTTGTTTGTTGAATGAACAGTTTTGCTTCTGCTTCTCTCTCCTGGCTTGACATTTGAATCATGGCTTGTGACACATCATTTGGAAGAATACTGAAGAGAATTCTGTGCTGGAACACAAAAACCAGATTCTCTTATGGTCAGCTCTTAGACAATGTGCAAAGTTCAGCATCTTGCTATGTTTATTGTGTTTTCTGTGTGATGCTTAGTACCTTTCGGAGCATACTTTATCAAAATGAAGTTTGGGGAATGGAATTTTCCTCTGAATGTTAGAATAAAACTCGAACTTTGTGTAACTGACCATTGGTAAATATCAAGCAGATGCCAATATTTTGATTATTTTAGTGGGCCACTACAGTATGGTGCATAGGGCTTTGGACTTGAAAATCTTAAGTTCAAATCTGTTCTCAAGAAGTTAATAGCTTTTTGACCTTGGGTGAGTCACTTAATGTCTTTGTGCCTCAGTGGCTTTTTTTGCATAATGGGGATGACAATAGCACCTATCTCTTATGGTTCTTGTGATAAGGATCAAATGAGATGATATTTGTAAAGTACTTTGCAAGCCTTAAAACACTGCAAAATGCTATTACAACAACAACAATAACTACTACTGCTACCACCACCACTACTACTATTACTACTAGTACCTTGGTAAGCTCCTAATAGTTCTAGCTGCTTTATAATTTGTCCTGTCTCACTAGATGAGACTTGATTAACTTTATTTTATCAATAATTTAACAAACCCATATCCCTATACTTTCCTTTCTTCATCTCCCAAGAAAATAAAAAAACCCCACCAAACATCTCAATATATAAATAAGCAGCCTGAGAAAATGATAAACTATTTTTTTCATCAGCTTCTTTTCAACATTTTAAAGCTAAATATCTTCAGAGTGTGAGCCTGCTGGGTCTCTGTGTCGTAAGCTGTGCAGAAATATTTATGTTAACATCAAACTGCAAGATCATGCAGCTTACCATCTCCAGAGCCACAGAAGGGGCCCAACAAAAGAAAACTGACTTAAACTGTAAAAATAGAAAGTGCAGTTGGACTTGAGAGGACATGATGACTAATTAACATTGACTACCAAGAGAGTTTATAGAATCATCATCTTCTAGAGGACTTTAAAATTTCAGTAGAAAATCTGTTGATCTTAGATCATTCCAACTTAATTTTTAATTTAGCCCTTACAGGAACACTGACCAAAAAATGGTGATTTATTTTTCTAATTTCAAAAGTTATTTGCAAAGTTGCCTTTTTGGTGGGTTGGAAAGTAACAGTGTACTTATCTGAATTCCCAATATTCTCAGAAGGATTAGCATTTGTTAGTAGTATAGTGATAGCTATTTGCAGCCATAATTTCTCTCTTTTCTGGGGCCTTTTTGAGAGCTTGTCTCTTTTCTATTAAAAGAAAATATTGGTTATTGCATAGCAGTGATTATTTGAGTCATTCAGGTCCAGAAGCAGCAGTGGTTCAAAAGAAAAGAGCCCTGTACTTGGAGTGAAGAGAGACAATTTCAAACCCTGCATCAGAAACTTACCAGTTGTGTGACCCTGGCAAGTCATCCTCTCTGAGCTTCAGATTCCTCATCGCTTAAATGAAGATGATAATAACAGCACCTACCTGACTGAATTACTGTGAAGATCAAATGAGATAATTTACATGAAGTGCTTTGTACACTTTAGAGGGCATTAAGAATGTCAGCTTTTATTTCTCTTCTTTACCTAGATGTTTGCATTTTACTTCATTTATTTACATGATGAGTCAGATTCAGGGGTATTCTGGTAAATGTTTAACAACTTGCTCTCAAAAAACATGTTCAAACAAGACACACTTTTAAGTTTAATCTCTGTTATTAACAGTTTCTCCATCACTTTCTTAAGTCTTAATAATCAGCAAAACAATAACTCAAGCCCTGATTTGTAGCATTATATGATTTCCAAGGAATAAATGCTTATACTGAAAATTTAATAATCTGCTTACAGCTCAAGCACACCTCTTATTAATTATGACCACTATTCAGAGTATATTTTCAATTTCTATTACTGCTGCTGCTACTGATAACACCATCACACCTACAATTACCATTACTACTAATATTTATGTAGCATTTTATGAGCTGCATAGAGAGGCAGGACAGTTTTGTAAACAGAAGGCTGGACTTGTTTCTAGTCTTTCGTCTGTGACTCTGCAAGTCACTTAGCATCTCTGTGACCTAAGGAAGTTTCTAAGCATAAAGGTACATATAGTATTGCTGAACTGTATTAATGGAGGCAGTTGCCAGACTGAGAGTTCCCCACACCGACGAAATCTTAGGTCTAGACACTCTTACCTGCAGGAGATAGATAGATAGACAGATAGATAGATAGATAGATAGATAGATAGATAGATAGATAGAGAAACAGAGAGAGAGAAAGAGAGAGAGAGACAGAGACAGAGAGAGAGACAGAAAGAAAGAGAGAGAGAGACAGAGAGGGAGAGACAGAGGAAAGAAGAAGAAGAAGAAGAAGAAGAAGAAGAAGAAGAAGAAGAAGAGAAGAAGAGGAAGAAGAAGAAGAAGGAGAAGAAGAAGAGGAAGAAAAAGAAAAAGAAAAAGAAGAAGAAGAAAGGAAGAAAGAAATAGGAGGAGGAAGAGAAAGAGAAGGAAGAAAAAAGAAAGAAAAGAATAAAGAAGAAAAGAGGAAAATATAAAGGTAGGAAGGAAAGAAGAAAGGAAGGGGAAAAGAAAAGGGAGGGAAGAAAGAAGAAGGGAAGGAAGGAAGAAAGGAAGTGATAAATGCAATACAAAACAATTTAGATACATTATCTCATTTAGTTTTCATTTGTGAAGTTGGATGTAGACTAAATGGGGAACAAGGAATCTTTGAGTTAGTAAAATGTCTGAATTCTAAATAATTTTAAAGGAACAGTAAAATTGTTATGTTAAGTATAGGACAGCTAAAACTGAATGAACAAGATGTGCTTTGGTAGAAA